GTGTCTGTGTGGGGGTGTTTAATTATGTTATCTCAAAACCGAAAGTTTCTGAAGCAAAGAAGTGTGATTTCCTCCTACAAATAGGTCTCTCTTTTGCATCGTTACATTTCGAGGGCTGCCAACTTTTTTAAGTCAAGAAGAGGGAAAATGTCTCAAGCACTTATGGGTTCCAGGGATGTAAATGGGTTCCAGAGAAAAAAATCTGAGCATTAAGAGGAAGATGAAATGCAACCACAGAAAATATGCTTAAAATAGTGCATTTCTCGGCCATTTTATATGGTCGCAAACTTTGTGGAGGGGAAAAAAAGTTCTCATTTTAACCCAATTATTGTTCTGTCGGTAAAATAAAGTAAACTAAAGTTGTTCCCGCATCCGATCTGGACATTGGGGATTGCATTGTTAGTGAGACAACTTCCTAGGCCTTCGACATATTGTGGTAGGGTGGCCAGTTCCTTTCCACGCCGCCTTTACTTCCCCAACTCGAAGTCAGATACCCATTTCTGCTGGGTGGGCAGGAGGGGGCGAAAAAAAATCCGTACCCACCGAAAAAAATATATAATGAAGTATTACTTTCCAACCATTGATAAAGATGTCGAAAAGTGAATAGTAGTGAGATGAAAGACGGCGACTGTTGGCTACACACGTGTTCACCCACCTTTGAACGGCTTGATTTGAGCTTCAGGAGGGGTTGAAACTAAATTTAACTTCATGGGCTGCTTTTCGAAGAAATCCCTTGGGTAACTTTTTGGTAAGTGTTTTACGGTGCTCACTACTGCATAAGGTCATATGAGCGCCAGCGCACAGGACACACCTAATATTTTCCGTTGGTGGTAAATTTTGAATTTTGCTCGGGTGGCGGCTGAAGCCTACTCTTGTCGAATAAAAAAGGTGAAAGGAGACAATTCTAGAGAAGAAAATTTTCCGGTCGCTACCCGGATTCGAACCTGGGACCTTTGAATGAGAGGCCAACACCTTAAGGGGGCTCGACATTTATCCACCGTTATTCTAAAAAGCAATTAATACCAACTATTAACCTATGTGAAAATATTTGGATCCAACTGTACATAGTGTTATCAGGTCCATTCGTAACCAGGGAAACGGCGGCCATCTTGGATTGTAAACAAAAAATATATACCAATTTTGGTACACGACCATCAATATAGTTTTTACTTTTTTCCTGTTATTTCACTTGTAATGTGTTTAGGAGACATAGCTCTAAATAGTAACAAGCTTAGAATGGCTTATATATCCCTTTTAGTTGTTTTTTAAGCCATCCAAATTCACCTTACAATTTTGGTAAGAAAATACCCCCAGTGACTGTTGAAAAAAATTTCCAAAAAAAAAAAAAAAGAGACATATCACAATTCTGACCATGTCACTATCTGTGGAAATGGATAAGCTATTAACATGCCAAATTTGATGCCCATATCTTTACAAATAATAAAATGGTAGTGTTCCAACTATTGAAAAGGATCTGAAAAAGGTAGTTTTGAGAAAAATCGCGTCAAAGTTTACGGTTGTTAGTAAACATGCCACATGCTGTGTTAGGTGGTTAGTAGTCCAATATTTGCCTCTAACTAGTGTTCTGGGCCTACCTTAACAGTTGAAAGCCCCTGAAGAGTAGGTGACACCCTCCCTTTCCTCTCTCTTGTCCTTCTCGTTGAGGTGGTTCTGTTGAAGGTGCTTTCGTTTCCACTTCGAAATGTTCTTTCCTTTCCTCTTGGAGTGACGAATTCTTGTCTCTGCTACTCCAATGGCATGCGAATTTGTCACAGCTCCCCAGGTCAGGCCGAGTCTTTCGAAGACCTTGTATATTCCTGTAGGTCCCATGTTAAACGAAATTACACTTAACGCCACAGCTGTTTCAATGGTTGGGAGGTGGGCGAAAAGCACCTTAGGGCAACATCTCCAAATTGTCGAATTAAAACATTCATTTGGGTTCTGCGTAGACATTCTGACACACCTAGAGAGGAGTTCTGGGTCAGTCAGCCTCTTGAAAATGGGGAATACGTAAGTCCCTATATCAGGTGATAAGGTTGGGTTGTGGGGAGGGGGCTGTTCACCCTTGGCGAGGGCACGGTTGTGCTTGCACCATGATGTTTCACCCTCTGGGCACAAACGATGGTTCGGGGCGCTGTCAGTGGAATTCATGTGGAACAGGCCACCCATAACACCTAACTTCATCTTCTGAATATCTGGGGCATTCTCTCTCAGATTCGTGGCGTAAGTGTTTGTGATTTCTTTTATTTTGGCAACGGTCAGTTTCCTGTTGAGCTTCTGCTTGTTGTCTTTTTTAACCTGTTCTAACTGATTGTAGATGCGTTTGGCTATATGATTTACGCAGTCTTCCTTCTGCACCGGAATGTCGTAGACACCAAGGTCGTTGACACGTGTCAGTGCCTTGCTGTCACCATCACACAACATAGTGCCATATATCAGCCCACGGCACTCAATTAACCGACTAAAGATCACCTCAGCTGCTCTAGTTTCTCCATTGCGTTAGAGGAGCCATAAAAATTTTTGTTACACAAAGGTTTGTGCCGTTCGAACCAGGACAAGTACTGTGAGGAGTCGGGATCTGGCGCACGAGTATACCCTGTGCAGAAATTAGACACTGTATATGTGTCCAGTACATAACCACTGTCCACATCAATCGCCACACCTACTCCATAGTGTGACGAGTGACCTCGCTTGTGCCACGTGCCGTCGTAGGAAACGTTGACAACTTGAACGCCAGATGGACTTGATCGTTCAGTTGCGTACACGTTGGATTGATGACGTTCTTTAATGACTCGGGCAGAAGCCGACATAACTTCCTCTGCAGCACCGATGGCAGCCTCTCTCACTTCTAGGCCGATTTCATGGAACGTCTTGTGGTGCATGACGTTGGGCATGTTCATGATGCTGAACATCGTCTTCATGGTGCTCAGCGGCACACCGCACTCCTTAGAGGCTACGACCGCACGGACGTTGATGTCGTGTCGACGTGTTGATTTCGGCGAAGTGCACTTTGACCAGACTGGTTTCTGGCATGTATTGCATTCCACGGTAAAACGACAAGCCATACCGATGTCGCTTGACGCATCAAGGGATAGATCGGAGCCAAAGCAGAAGGGGCATACAATAATATCTAGCATAGCGAGAAAAAACGACGAATGTACCAGGTAGTATCGCTCTGCTTCAGGGTCAGGGGACGAAGAATGATCTACGAAGGCTGACATCTTCTGCTCACACCGCGATGAATTTGTTTGGGTTTCTGTTTCCTCGTCGTCTTCAACGGGAGCTGGCTCACTGTTGCAGAAAATAAAATTACACATTGCGTTAGAACTACAGTCCTTAGAAAGTCAAAGCAATATAATTTTGCATTGTGTGATACATGCAAAATTGTAGAAAAGCATGGCATTAGGTCATTAGGCTACTTGAAAAGTACCAGATCTACACTTTTTTACTTTCTGTCTTTGAGAACAATCACCAAAATAATAACTTGTGCTCACACCACCCTCTCCACAAATATTTGCATAACTCAGATCTGCATATAGCTGAGCACACAATTGTTTTCTTCCTCTGTGTGATCCTTCACCCATAAATCTATACTATACCTCACACAATGCAATTTTACAGAGAAGTATAATTTAGATCAAGACTGTAGATCTAGATCTAATCTAGATCTAGATATATTAGATTGGGGAGCTTGAGTGATATTAGAAACCAGTTTGTAGATCTAGAATGAATAAATCCAGATCTAGACTCTAGATCTAAATAACGATCATATTTTCTTACCTGTCAATTTGAGGGGCTGAAGATGATGGACCGAATTCATTCATAGCAAGAGGCTGAACTGGCGAAGTAGGTTCATCCATGTCGACATCTTCGGTTGTTTCCACTCCATCTTCACACACCTGCGTGGTGGCATGCCTCCCTCTTGGCTTAGCATTAGGACCACGTCTCTTCTTTCGCCCAAAAGCGAAAGTTTTAGCGACTCTCGGCATCTTGTAGAATGTGAACAGATCGTAAACAATGCAGTAACTCGCTTTGTTTCACTTCGACTGTCTTTCTCAATGGCTTATGGAGTTGACCATAATATGCCAGGTATGAGTACGCGCGAGGTGTATCGTAGTACTGTCATCATCGGAACATTTAACAGTCTCAAGTAAAACGAATGTAATTTTATCAAAATGTTTTATTTATCAATATTTATAAATGAATTTGTTATTTGAATAAAATATCATGTAAAAAAATCCCAAAGCATGGTGATTAGAGGTTTCGAAATGCGGATCGGGTTTTCCGAAAAGCGCTACGTGGTGGCAACTCAGACATCTGAAGCTGAAGACCAACCAGAATGAAGCATTTTTTGGAGCGCATGTCTCATTTGAATGCAGTTGGTTCATTCTGTAATCGATTCATGTGTTTGACTCGATTACTATTCGTCGGTTGAAATCCTGCTCTTTCAAACGGTATATAACACGGCTATGTTTGTATACAATTGTAAGGCCGTTGCTATGGTCCAAACATTGCTCTTTTGTGAATTTGCTTCAACATTTCGCTTCCCGGCTGACATTTTGGCAGAGGGGGTGTCTCTAAAATGCCTGTTGAAAACACTTTTGTGGCCGTTTTTCAACATTATGACCGATACCATTGTGAAGAAGAATGATTCGACTTTCAAAAAATGGTAAAACCTCGATTTCAATATTTTACCCAAAAAATGATATCTGTCAGGCTGAAATCCACCCGCGAGCCCCCTTAACCTCTAGGCCACGAGAGCCCCCGTCTTCCTCTTTAGACATTGAGAAGTGGCGGTAGCTTGCTGGGTAGAACATGTGGCTCTCACTATCTCCACTGGCTTGGAGGAGCTTCTTGCACTAACTGATGATGTAAGGCTACCTGTATTGTTCTCAATGGCTGCTCTTGCCTCATTTGCTTTGTCATGGATAGACGTTGAAGTTTTCTTAAACTTTGGAATCCTTCTGACTTTTTAACAGACTTCTTCCTTTTTGCTGCTGTTTGCATATATATGGTAGCACAGAGCATAGAGAGGGTCTACTGGAGAACAGACAGGATCCACTCTGTGGTACAACTAGGTAGACTTCTTTTGATGATTAAGCAGTTTGTATTGAACTTTTTAAATGGCCTCATATGTCTGCACTTGAGTTCTGTTTGAGGTGTTTGTGATTACATTGTTCTTAATGCTAAAAGAGGATTCACCCTGGGCCCTCTGAAAATGGAGAAGCAAGCCTTGATGACAGGATTAAGAACAGCATACTGGGGATTGTTGAAGACCACCTCTTGTCCAGTTTCTTCTCCGTGATGGTTGAAGTGAATTTAGTCTCTTTCTGAAGGGAAGAAGAAGCAGTAGCAGTTGTGAATGTGTCTTTCTGAACTTCGTCTGTGAGTTTAGGAAAAAGGTCAAAAAGGTCGTGCAGTCCGGATGCTGCTCTACTGTGACCACAGAGCTCTGGATCAAGAGTAGACAAAAGTTGAAGGTTTTTATTCTTGATAGGGAGTTTCTTGATAAGATGTGCACTGGTCTTGTGCTAGGAAAGTCAAACAGTCTTTGTGTGGGCCTGGGCTTCAGATCTGTCCATTTCTTCAAAAATTAATCTGGCAGCATCTCCAACATACACTCTATCCAAGGTGTGAACATTTCTAGAGTGGGCATTGACTTTGAAAATGTGACAGCTGTTGAGTCAGGAGTACTCATGAGTCAGGAAACAGGTTAAAAATGTTTTCGAGACCAGAGTAAGCTCATCATGGAGCCTGTGCACCATCGGCTCTTTCTGTTCAAACGTCGGAATGAAACTCTTGAAAAAGTGGTGGGATGCTGACAAGGAAGTTGGCAACCAAAAGGCTGAGCTGTCTTTTCTTGATTAGCCTGTCTAAGATCCTCTTCTTTCTTTCTTTCTTTCTTTCTTTCCCAGCAGGAGTTAACTTCTTTGTCTTAAGCCTCTAAAGAATACTGAGAGACAATGCTGAGTCTTGAGTCTTTCTTGTTCCCTTGTAGGATTCTTGTTAGCAGTGGTTGGTGCTGCTGTGTTTCCACAACTGTCAATCATGATGAATAAAAAAGAGTCTGAGCATTGTGGATTTGAAGAAATCTATCTGAAGCATCATAGACTGACATCGATCTGTGACTGGCTCTTGGAATCGGCACTAGTTCTGCGAGTTCAAGGTGCTTGCATAATATGAACTTCAGATCATCACGCAGATCAGCACTCAAGTCCATGTCATTAGAAAGATCATCTATGGGTCTCGATAGCATCTCAGAGGGGTCAAGATTGGACGAAAATTTCTTCACAGCATTATGAATATGGTGACAAACACCCCCATCAATATCCAAGACATGTGGTGCAACTGCTGTGAGTCTAGCAGGAAGCTGCTTGTTTGGTTTTGCTTTTTGGATCAGTTGCCCTGTGTGGTCCCTGGCAGTTAATACATTTGACATTCTGCAGCTAGATGGTTTTTCCCTCCACATCTAATGCAAATTTTTGTATTTTCTTTGCTATGGGTTGACGTGTGTCCCATCTTTAGACATTTTAGGCACTGTGGCAGTGCTTTTACGTACGGGTGAACCGTTCTTAGCCCAAACGGGGTTTTGATAACATCAGGCAACACGTTACCCTCGATTTTTACTGGAAAAAATTTGACGTCTTTCCCAGTCTTTTTGATTCAAGAATATTTTCATTTAGGTTTTTAAAAGTTTTTTTATTTCATTTTCGTTTTCATTCGGAGGGATTCCTTTTATTACTTCGTGTAGGGGTTTCAATATTCCCTCTATTCTCCATTGGGTGTTTCCCATTTCTGGTGCGTATGGTCCCTTTTTGAGCTTTGTGAAGGTATTCAGGCTAATGTCTGACCTAATCTTTGGTTTGTTTTTACCGTCTTCACGTCTGCAGTTTCAGTGAAGTGAAAAAATTGTCGAAGTAAAAATGGTGCCACTTGTGTCAGTAATGGGAGGCGACCGTCATGAGGACGTGGTACCCCAATCCATGGGGTTGTCCCTCCTCTATGTCTTACCAGTGTACATGTTGAAGTGCAGGAGGCACCCAGTGGCGGTATCAGCAGCACATCATGCCTTGATGCCCCGAGGGTCCGGCTTTACTCGGATGTATTGCTTGAAGCTCCATCGTCCGGTAAACAGTGTCATCGCCTCGTCAATACTGATCTTCACAGCAAGAAGGTAGTGGTCTTCGATGCTTGGGAGGAAAAAAGTCAAATAAAAATAGAATTAGAACAAGCATTGGAGGGGAGAGTGGACATATATTCAATTTTCAAGCACATTCAAGTCAGCGCGTGCGCACACACACACACACACACACACACACACACACACACACACACACACAACACTAACAAAACATAAGAAAGTAGACTTATAGTAGTATTAGAAGAAACAGAAAAATGAGACGAAGAAAAGATGATAAAAAATCATACTCACCGTTCACAAACAAGATCCAGCAAGGGACGAACTTTGTGGAGTGGGTCATGATGGGGGTCGCCTCTCGGTCTGCTTGCTGCCGAATCATTGATGTGGATAACTGGGAGATCCTCTCAAACCACCCCTTTGGCATGGCGCAAGACACTCCTGGTATGTTCAGGCGGTCGTCTTCGCTCCAGTACATGCAGTAGTGCGACTCTGGGTACGCTGAGACGGTCGTCTTCGCTCCAGTACATGCAGTAGTGCAACTCTCGGTACGTTCAGGCGGTCGTCTTCGCTCCAGTATATGCAGTAATGTGACTCTCGGTACGCTCAGGCGGTCGTCTTTGCTCCAGTACATGCAGAAATGCGACTCTCGGTACGCTCAGGCGGTCGTCTTCGCTCCAGTACATGCAGTAGTGCAACTCTCGGTACGTTCAGGCGGTCGTCTTCGCTCCAGTATATGCAGTAATGTGACTCTCGGTACGCTCAGGCGGTCGTCTTTGCTCCAGTACATGCAGAAATGCGACTCTCGGTACGCTCAGGCGGTCGTCTTCGCTCCAGTACATGCAGTAGTGCAACTCTCGGTACGTTCAGGCGGTCGTCTTCGCTCCAGTATATGCAGTAATGCGACTCCCGGTACGCTCAGGCGGTCGTCTTCGCTCCAGTACATGCAGTAGTGCGGCAGGCTGTGTATGCCAAACATGATGTTGATGGCCACCCACACCTTGATGTCAGCATCACCGACAGGAGTCCAGGCCTCGTCTTGCTGGTTGCTCTTGTCCTGGCACTGAGTGACCGATAGATTCGTTTGTGCTGCAGTTCGGGCGACTCAGCAGGAGGGAAAAGCTGGAAGAAAAAGTCGATCGGTTCGCTCCCAACTGGAAGTTTATGGGCAGGGCCCACATTCTCAGTGGACTCGTTTAGCACTCGGTCCTCAAAATTCGTAGTCCACTCTCTTGTAATTTCTGTAGTTGTAGATCTAGCTAAAGTACTGTGGGTGCTAGGCCTATCTTCTTCTTCGTCAGTGTCTTCTAAATCATCACCTCCAGCAACGATCTCACCGTCAACATCGCTCTCTTTGTCGTTCCCCTCGCCTAGATATAGACCTGTCACATCGTGTTCATGGCTTGACTGAGTGTCCGAGTGACTACTTGTACTAGTACTGGCCCCTTGCTTGACGATATCGGCACTTAAATCCAAATTATATGTGTCTCCATCATATACAGTGCCTGCTGCGTCTCTGTAATTTTGTCCATGAAGTTAGGTTCAGGTCTCCAAAAAGCAAGAAATTAGAAAAATCTCAGCTCCCACGTGCTTTTTTGGGTAAGTGTTTTACAGCACTCGCAACTGCATAAGGTCATATGAGCGCACGGGATACATTAAAATTTTTTAGTTGGTAGGAAATTTGGAATTTTGCGGGGGTGGTGGCCGAAGCCTACTCTTGTTGATTTTAGACCACCAAGGGATCTTCAACGCGCGCAACTTGCACACGGGCCCTCTGAGATTTTTCGCCCTTGTCCGAAAAGGCTAAGTGTAGATCTTTCCTATCAGAAGATCAGGGGTGTGGCTGAAAGACAGCAGTAAGAAAGAGCCAAGGAGTAGCAGTAGAAAGGCTGCAAAAAGAGTCAGGAGCCCAGGGGATGGGGGCAGAAAGAGGAGACGAAAGCAGACGACAGAACATTGCTAGAGAGCAGAAAAGGAGG